ATAAAGGGGCGTACTTCCATCGCTTGTTTGTTCGAGGTAAGCCCGAGCTAACAAGGAATTTGTCCCGCAAGCAAATGAAAGAGTCGATGGCCGGGTGGCCTCCACCCTCCGGAGAGCCAGACTTGTACGGCTCTGAGGCAGCTGGTTTGACGTCAGGTTCGACAAAAGGCCTCGCACCCTCGACCGGCATTGTTGGCATAGCTGAAGCACTGCCAATCCCCGCGTATGCACCAGGAACTTTTGCTCCGAATGAGCGTGAAGCAGGAGACAAGCAAAAAGTCGATGAGATGATCGAGCCGATTAGGGTTGAGATATGAAAAAAGCTTTGCAAGTGAGATTTAACTTGTTTGGGTGGCTCGTCGCTGAAACGGGCCTGACTACATGGATTCTTCGTCGTTGAATGGAAGCGTAGTGTTCTCGCATTGCCATACACGATTCGAGTTACGAGTGAGAATCTAGCAAACGAAAAGGAAAATTGAATCAGGAGGCTACACGTTTGCATCATATCGTTCTTAACTGAATTAAATCTATATGATTTGAATAGCCCGTTGTTTACCCCTTCTTCTTTTCCAGCTTTGCCTTGAACTTTTCGAAGTCTTCCAATACCTTTTGGAGTCGCTCCACCACAAAATCTGCCCACTTTTCGAATCCTTCCAGTGTCGGATTTACACCATCGTCAATCATCTTTGGGTCAATTTGGGCTCTTCCCGTAATCTTGGATGGTACCAACATTAGCTCTCCTCCCTGTATGTAATAGAAGTTGTGGTACTTCCTGCAGAATCGTCTGAGCTTGTTGTTGACACCTTTTGCCTGCTTCCAAATCTTGCCCAAGTACGTTCCCTTGACTTTTGGATTGTCCAAACGAGGCATGATTCCGTGAATGACAAAAAGGGATTCGGGTGATTTTTCACTGACGACTTTCACAACGTTCATGATACTGGCAACCACAAAATCTTCATTGCATTTGGATTCGAAGAGATCATAGTTTCCAATCATTATGAACCAAATTTTGGGTTTTA